ATCTTTCATGTCTTTTCCTCGAGGCCATAATGTAATTGGAATGTGTCAAACTCTAACCTTAAACACAACACAGGTCTGACCTTGAATGGTTTGGTTCATGACGGCCAGCTGTTGTGTATGCAGTATTTGTAATTTACAGTGTGTGTGTGTGTGTGTGTGTGTGTGTTTACCTCAGGCTTCAGGCGAACGTGCTCTGGCAGACTCTCGTTGACCTTCAGCACCTGTTGGAACTTCCTCTTGAGCTCGTCCAGCTTCCTCCTCTTGGCGGTGATCTTCAGCTCCACCTCCCGCTGCAGACGATCCTTCTCCAGCTTCTGTTTCGCCGTCGCTATGCTGGAAGAAATTCAATGAAAACAATACAGACAACAAAGTTATCTACTTCATGAATCATTTGAATAAATGGACGGGAAGAAAAATGAAATAACACGAAGGAGGTGACGTTCTCACCTGTCAGTTGCAGAGTTCTCAATGTCATGAGCATATGGCTGTTTTTCAAAACCAACCTGTGAACATGTGAAAAAGATGATATCACTTTTTATTTGCTATTCATATGAAGCTGAATCTAATTATAGTTTCTCTCCTTTAAATACAAATGTGAAAGAATTAAATGTTATTGAAAGGTGGACCGACCCTGGGTGGAGGAATCTCGGCCCTCTGTTTCTGCAGGCTCCTCTGCAGCTCCTCCAGAGGAAGCAAGCTGAAGGAGAAGATGTTACCGTCGTCACCCGCTGTCAGCACAAAGTTGTCGTCATGGCTACAGCGAATGTGCCGCAGGTGTCCATAATGGTTGTCGTGAACACTGAGTGCCCGGCAGGCCTTCATGGAGGAGAGGCTGTGGTCCCCGGGCTGCAGCAGGTAGACCCTGATGGAGCCTGAGTGCATGCCGCAGAGCAACATCTGCCTGTTGGAGCTACGAATAAAAATAAAATAAAACAACGAAGAATGAAGAGGTAAAACTACTGGAGTTTAAAATATGAGGCTGTAGAGTTTGAACTCCGGCTACCTGAAGGTGACGGAGCGAATCGGGTCGTCATCTGTCTCGTCAATAGGTAAGAAGTCAAAGGGCTCATCCTCCCGTTGCTCCGGATCCTCGTCCTGCTTCTCAGAGAACTCACAGTGATACAAGAAGCCTGAGTCGAAGCCTCCCTACAGGAGAGAGAGAGACACACACATCCTCCTCAGATCTGTCATTCCCCAGGTTATCCACCAGGTGAGCCCACTGCTCTGACATGATATGCACCATTGACAGCCAGAAGTGTCCAGACTGTGAGTAGAAGCCACAGTAGAGAGGACTCGGAGTTTGGGGCATGTAGATGGGTGGTAACTCTTCTTCCTCCTCCTCCTCCTCCTCTTCTTCCTCTTCCGCTTCTCCCAGCTTTGATTCTTTTAACGAATCTTTCTTCTTCTTCTCCTTCTCAGCTTGACGTCTTGCCTTTTCCTCCTCTCTCTGAAACACAAACATACACAATTAAAAACACGATTATTACAGGAGTCCTTTCGAATAAACCTCGAGGGAGAGAAAATACTAGAACAACACATGATGACCGAGACAGATTACAACATAACACAGTGTGATGTAATAAACAGGATGTGCGTATTTAAACCTTGATTCGAGATTTGATGCTCCTGAACCTGAAGGATCTACGAGGCAGCTCCAGCAGCTCAAAGCTCTCCGTTGGCTTCTGAGCTTTCAGATCAGAACTGTGGACCTCGACCACACAACCGTTCTGACACAGGATGAGCAGCCGGTTTTCACTCTGAGGAAAAGTGCAAAAGATTTCAGGCGTAAACAGTAACGTTCCAGCACAGAATGATTATTCTAATGGAAGTGAGACACCAGACTTACGTGGGAGTGAGGGGACCACTCCAGCCCCTGCACCGGCCCAGGAACACGGACAAAGCCGATGGGACTGTAAGATTCCCCGACAGTGAAGAAGAACACAGTGCAGTCTGAGCTCTGAGGAGGACACGAGTGACGACAGAACAAACAGGTGAGACTTCTTTTAAAACCAGTGGAGTCGACCTCTGCTATGTACAGTCCATCAACTTCTTACCCCTGTGGCTAAGATGTCTCCATTTCGCTCATACGCCACAGCAGTTACAGGTGCATTGTGGGGTTTGAAGGCTTGTTTGAGGTGAAGTCCGGCGTCTCCTTTGTTTTGGCGCCTGGTGACCGCAGACACCCTCTGAGGGTCGAACAGCTCCAGCAACCGGACCACCCCGTCGTCAAAACCTGTCACCAGCAAACCCCCACCCTGGTTCACCTGAAGACAAACACTGGAGGTCACGCCTCTGTGGTATCACGAGGCTGCACGGATCGTATTCATGCCGACACACTCACCACAGGTGGAGCCCAGATGAGAGCGGTTCCAGCCTGAAAGAAGCGGCTGGTGCTCAGTTCTCTGTTGGACAGGAAGTCAAAAACTCTGACTGAACCTGGAGAGAGGGAGAGACACAGTACCTTTGTAGTGTGTGTGTGTGTGTGTGTGCAGGTGTGGAAGTGTGTGACTCACGGTCCAGAGCAATCGTGGCCATCAGGTGGGATTTCGGTGACACGTCCATGCCCTGGATCCCCCCGGCATGGAAGGAAAACAGGCACTCTGGATCGGGAGCCTGCACACACGCACGCACACACACACACACACACAAA